AAGGAAGAAACCACCACTCCCTTCCATTAAATCACAGGGAAATTCAGAGAGAATGAGGATAGAGCACCCCGCTGACTGCAAGAGGAAGAAAGGGGAGTGTCCAGCCCTGGTTCCTAGGGACCGCTTCAACTGAATTTAGGGACACAAAAGCCAAGGGTGGGGAGAAGAGCCGGGAAGAGACTCCTTCCTCCTGGGCTGAGGTTATGGCGTTGCTTGGGACCCAGAAGAGTTTCCCATGCACCAATGGAGAGCAAAGCTATTCCTATCTCTTTTTTTTGTTTGTTTTTAAGAATTATTTATTGGAACCAGCAGTTAGCGTAATGGCTATGTCGCTGAACTCCCACGTAGTTGACTGCAGTTCAAGTCCTGGACCTGGTGGCTTAAACTCACACCGGGCGCGTGTGCGTGTGTGCCCAAGATCCCGAGAGGAGAATGGAGGAGAAGAGGTTGCGGCGTGGCCATCCCCCCCCCGCCAGGGGTGATTTCTCGCTTTCTGTCTCTCTGTCTCTCTCTGTCTTCCTGGTGAGCACATGTGCCCTATAGCAAAAAACTATAAGTATTTATTTAGGGGCCGGCAGGAGGCATGGTGGTGAAGGCACTGGACTCCCAAATGGTTGACTGTAGTTTGATTCCCGGACCTGGCGGCTTGCTCTCTTGCTTTCTCCTTCTCTCTCTCTTCCTGATCAAGTTAAAAAATACTAACAAATGGAATTAAATAAATACTTTTTCGAAAGAATTATTCATTTAATTTTATGTTTTATTATTCTTCGATTTGCCCAGAGAGAGAGAGAGACGAACGGCCCCGAGCAAAGTCATTTCCACGTACCCGGTGAAAGCTGAGGCGTCAGTCTTATGGCCAGCACAGGGCATCCGTGCATGCTGGGCTCTCCCCTGCAGGGGCAGTTTCTCCACCTCTGCCTCCCTGTGCCTGACCCCGGTGTGAGCAGAACCACCCACAACTCACAGCAGGCAGGCCCTGCCCAGGGGCACCATGACTCACGCTGTTCTCAGGGTTGACCCAAGCTCCTGCGACCTTGGGAGAGGAGTTCTCATTGTGCAAGGACACCCTCCATTTCACAGAGGAGGGAGCGAAGGCACAAGCCCTGTTACAAAACACTTCTCTGTCTGGAGTTGGAGTTCGGCTTCCTTATCTCTGTGACCTTCTGAGCTAACCCATTTGTCACAGGCAAAGCCCCACCTTGCCCACCATGGTCCAGGGACAGGAGACCTACCCAGGGTCCTATGGCCGACCGCGGGAGTAGCTGTGCCCTAACCCAGGTCAGCCCTCATGCTCTCAGCCGGCAGGGAATGGACTCGCTCCCAGCCTAATGCTGGGCACCTTCACCTCCCTCTGGAGAAACTGCCCAGGTTTGAGGGACTGTGAAGGAAGGGGCTGAAGTCGGATCCAGAGGAGGGGGCACCCTGGAGGGAAACTGAGCGATAATGGGGAGAGACCTGGGAATCTGAGAGCCTGGCTGTTTTCAGCACAAGGGTACAGGCCAAGGCCACCCGCTTCTTCCTGCTGCACTATCTGCTGGCAGAAAACTGGCCCACAAGACCCTGGGACGCTGTTCAGTTAGCTGTTCACTTGCACAGATGCCTGCTCTGAGCAGGGGTGTACCGTGGGCAGCAGGGAGGGAGAGCAACCCACACCCACTGTAAGTGCTGCCCAGAGAGGGACGGTGCACAATGGCTTCCCGGAGAGAGGCCGAGCAGGGTCCTGAAGGGTGAGATTTTCCTGAGTGGAGAGAGCGACAGAGGGCCTGCTAGGCAGAGGTCCTGAGAGAAGCCAGAGCTCCAGGTCTGCTGGGGGAGAGGCGGTACAGGGGCCTGTGCAGGGGAGCACTGGGACAGAGGGCTGTGTGTGATGGTGTCTGGGGAAAGGGGCCTGGTGGTTAAGTACATCTGGGAAGTTCTGGATTGAGCAACGGCCAACGATCCCTCTACAGCAGGACTCATCAGAGCATTTAACCCGCAAATGTGCCGTTGAGCCTCCTGGTGGGCCCTGGGATTGGTGTCCCACGGCCGGCCACTGGGGATAAGGAATATGGAAGGCAGTGGGGGTTGGTGCGGTTGGAGAGAAAGCAAGGGATCTGGAATGCCAGGCCAAGGAGGCTGGGCCTTGAGGCCAGTGCGTCTCAGAAGGGGGTTTAGAGATTCAGAATCGGGGTTCTGGAGGCCATTTAGTAGCCAGGGCTCAAGATCAAGGCTCCTGGGGACCAGCAGTTAGCGTAATGGCTATGTCGCTGGACTCCCACGTAGTCGACCGCAGTTCGCGTCCCAGACCTGGTGGCTTCAAACTCACGCCTGGTGCGTGTACATGAGTGTCCAAGATCCCGAGAGGTGAATGGAGAAGGGATTGTGGCGTGACCATCCACCCTGGGGGGGTGATTTCTCGCTTTCTGTCTTTATGTCTCTGTCTGTCTGGCGAGTGCACGCGCCCTATAGTGAAAACCTCTCCAAAAAAAAAAAAAAAAGATCAAGGCTCCTGCAGGAGACAGCCAGTTCCGGTCAAGGACACCCCTTGCCTGGATAGCAGGACTGCTCTATGGGAGGGAAAACCATCTCTGGGCAAGGCCAGGGTGAAGGAGCTCAGAGAGAAAGCCGAAAAGGGGTAAGGCTGGCTGGCCCTTGAGTCCAAGTTTGGCTGAAGAGCCTTTGGCACCATGGTCAAACCTGTCGGGGTTCAAATCTTGATTCCTCCCTTCCTAACTGTGAGTATCTGATCAAATCTAGTTTTAGGGGTTTTGTTGCCTTTTTTTTTTTTTTTTTTTTATTTTTTTACCAAGAGAGCG